AACAATTTCAATGAAATAGTGTCATGATAGCTGATGTTTGTAAATAAGGTTGCTCAGGTTGCTGGATGGATTTTGCGTTTGGCCTTTGTACTTTATTGGTCAAACTCCTCCAAACAAAAACTTAGATAAATTAATAGTGGTGTAGAATAACACCGAAATAGGTCGAGACAATTTTTATTGGTTGGTATAATAGAATGAGAATGGTTGACGTGAAAGAGATGAAGACTTGATGTTTCTCTTAACTTGATGTTTTATATAACTCTGAGTGATTTACAATATGCATTCTGTAAAATCCTATTGGATATAAGGATGGGTATGTAAAGGTAAAAAGGAAAGTTCTGTAAAGGAAGGTCCGATAATAGCATAACGATTGAAACATAAATTGATAATAACATTATGATTCGAAAATATACAAAGCAGCTTTTACAAAGCGCTGACAATACTTTCAGGTTACGAATGTCTTAACACAAAACATCAATGATAGGCTGGTGCATACAAAATAACCAAAACAAAGAAAACCGATATCACTGATGGGGATTACTTTGATATCTCCATCAAATTCCATTGCTTGTTGCCTCTATCCTCCCATTGGCCCTATGGTTCCTTGCGGTCCTCGTTGACCTTTCAGTCCTTTTGGTCCCTTTTCTCCTTTATCACCTATCTCACCTTGCTCCCCTAATGGTCCTGGTGCTCCTCGTATTCCTTGTGGACCATCTCTCCCCGGAATTCCTGGCTTTCCTTGAATTCCATCCCGGCCATCTCGCCCTGGTGGTCCTCGTGGTGCTTCCGCTTCCATCGGTGGGCCACAAGCCTAGAAATGAAAACTTGTAAATAAGAAACATAATTTCAAACGTAATTTTTCGAAGTTAAAAACAATCCAATGGAGAACTTACTTGGACTACGATAACAGCACAAAAAACCAATGGGAAAGTACTGAAAAGATGCATTGATACTGACAACCTGAAATTGACTATATACGGCTGAAAATTTTCAGGTTTTTTTTGTTTGGATTTCTGATATTTTATATTTCTATAAAACACGAAAGGAAAAGTATGCAAAGAGAGGTATTTTGGATCATTCAGAAGACCAGGTTCAACAAAAATTTTATAAAGATCGAACGTTTTTTATTTACAGTCCTTCCTTAAAAAAGGTTGTAATTGTTATGCCGTAATTTAAAAAATCCGTTGAAAATTTGTGATATCGTCAGAATGCGAGAAAAGGCTTTGCTATTCAAGTTGAAAATCAATAAAGTTTCGACGAGAAATTTTTTCTTATATTGAGAAATTAGATGTTTGATATGAATCATTCTAAAGTTCACGAAACAAAGAAACATTCCAAGAATTCTTTGTGGAATAATCATATCGAATGCAATAAAATACAATCTTAAGTGGTTATTGACGGTATCTGTGGGAGCTGAACGGATCTTTTTATGCGATGGTTTAAGGTGAACGAAGATTCGGTTGGCTGATAGATTAACGGTTGATAGATCAATCTCGGAGATGAAAGAAAGAACAGGTTTTAAATCTTCAAGAAACAGTAGTAAGTTAGCAATTTCAGTGATGTCTGCTATCTGCAAGTCAATTAATTGTTCGCACATTTCACTTTACTTGACATTACAAAATTTTGTCCTTATACAACAAGCTTAGTGAAAGCTCAGCTGTCGGCTTCATTTGTACTTTTTTGTAAAATTTTACTTCAATTTATTGCAAGATTTCTGCCATATTTTTTTTCACATTTTTTGCAGTCTAATTGCTTTTTATAAAACGCAAGCTATAATTAAGCTATCAGTTTGTCCTATTCATTAAAATATAATTATAATACCAATTTCCATGCGGTAGAATTATAATTACAATGTCAGTCTTTTCATCGATTCATAGTTCCATTAAATCCAACTTTTTATTCTTAACATAGATAATCCTTGTTGTTTCTTTGTTTAGTTGCTTTTTTTGTTATAATTTTGATTAGATCGGTTAATTTGTTAATTTGTCAAAATATTCCTTTCAGTTATATCGTTTCAGTTATTAGCAAAATGACTTATAATGCTATCATCCTTGTGACAAAGTGAGATCTGTCGTCAATTCGTCAATATTAATTCAAATGAATTATTTTAACTTTTTCTTTCTCTTCTGGTGTGCCGCAGATTTTCTACCGATTCCACATCAGCAATCTCATCAAAACCAGTTTCATTACCTGATGTTTCTGATTTGACCGTCCATTATGATTTCGATTTCCAGCAAGAGTAGACTAGTTTCTGAAGGGCAATGGATAATCATTCAATTTTCTACCACTCTATACTGCAATGAATTGTTGTTTCCCATATTCAGAAAGTTGAACGTATGCTTCCGTTCAAATTAGAGAAGTCAAAATTGAGCAGTTCGAAATTTTTCAGAATTTCTTGCAAGATAAATCAATTGTAAATACTAATGATGATATATCACTTATGTTATTTGAAGATTTCAAACATGCTCTTCCATCCATCCTCCCGGATTGATCCATCAACCATTGATCTCCCATCAATCAATAGAAATATGAGGAATAGACTTTAATTAGTTGATTAGAATGTATACAATCCTCTGATATAAGAGATATGTAAGAGAAGCTTTAAAGACTTAAATCAGAACTTAATAAAGCGAATTCTGACGAGAAATTTTGCGTTTATAGTAAAAAGTAAAATATCTGACATGAATCATTCCGGAATATATAAACAATAAACATTTCGAGAATTCTTTATGGAATAATCATATCGAATGCTGCAAAATGCAATCTTAAATGATTATTGACGGTATTTGTGGAGGGCAAACGAATCTTTTACGCGTTATTTTAAGGTGAAAGGAACGAAGATACGGCTGGCTGATAGAAGATCAACAATAGAGAATCTGGAAGAATGTATGAAAAAACTGGTTTTGAACTTTCGAGAAACAAAAATAATTTGGGAATATGATCGTTATCCGTTATTTGCTTACTGTAGTGGAAATGATGGTAGAAAATTGGACTGTACCGTCGCCCTGAAGATCTGATCCTGCTGGAAATTATGGTCATAATGCTCAGTCCAATTCAGGAGTGAAATCGGTTTTGGCGAGATTGCTGATGTGACATCAGAAAAAGATATGCAGAACATTATAAGATTTATTTTGCTGAATTTATGTTGAACCAGTTTTGATTCTTTTTTAATTTGAAGCAAAATTTAATCGAATTGCTGTTGTTAGCTAATAGAAAATTTGCTAATAGATAAAAAATAAAGTTTGCTATGATCTAAGAAAAGAAACGATGATTATGGTAATGGAAAAACTCCAATCTGAGAATCCAATTATTGTGACGACCGACAAGAATTGTTGATACTGTAATGAAGAGATAACTCGATATATCGGAAATCTGAAAAATGGCCAATGTATGAAAAATAAGAATTGGTTAGGTTCCAACATATATTATTTCAGTACTAATATTTCTACCTTTGAACTAACTAATTCACTGCTAATTCCTTATTGCAGTGAAATGAAAATGTGAAATTCAATGGATGAGATCAAATTTTCAAACGTATTATTCCCAAAGATCAAATCAGGCAGATGCCAATATTAATTTAAATGAATTATTTAAACTTTTTTCATTACAAAGGACACATTCTTTCAGTAAAAGAAAAAAACGATATAACTGAAAGGGATATTTCGTTATCTTTAATAATTTCAATTACTGAAAAATTATCTGTTCTGGTGTACCGCAGATTTCTTACTGGAGGGCAATGGATAATCATCCAATTTTCTACCACTCTATACTGCAATGAATTGTTGTTTCCCATATTCAGAAAGTTGAACGTATGCTTCCGTTCAAATTAGAGAAGTCAAAATTGAGCAGTTCGAAATTTTTCAGAATTTCTTGCAA